TAGCGCTTATATTTAGATCATTGACAGATTTTTTTTGTTTATTAATTCTCACGGAGGATATTTTTCCATTGATTTTTAGAGAGAGTGGAAGGGAGAAGGGGAGTGAAGGAGGGAGGAGGACATCTAACCCAAGATCACAAAGATTTTCATCTTTATGGTTTCTGGCTTAATTTTTTAAAAAAATTTATTTTTATTGTTGAAAATATTACAGATGTCTTTCCTTTTCTCCCCCATTGTCTCCCTCCTCCTTGTCCCTACTCCTGCCTTCACCACACTGTTGTTTGTGTCCATTGGTTATGCAATGCACATATGCATATCAGTTCTTCGGTTTATCTCTTCCTGCCCTCTGGCTTAATCTTCATGCGCTCAGATTACACTCCCTTGCCTTTACCACGCAGTGACTATGAAGACTTCACACAGAGCAGGTCTGAGGGAAGAGTGTTACGTTTTGAAGTAATGCTTGGGATGCACTTGTGTCTGGGTGGCCCCTCTCTGCTCAGGCAGCGCCAGCAGCCACAGACACAGGGTTTTCTGGAACCCACGTTTTCTCCTGTGTTGCTGTCCTCCTACGCCTCAGCGGAGGATGTTAGTTTGTGTCTCAATAGTAAATTAATTATGACAGCTCTTGTGACTTTCAGAGAACACTGCATTTGTTAAGCACTATGCCAGCCCCATTCCAAACTCTACTTCTTTTAACTAGTTAACCCTCAGATGCCCGAGAAAGAAGACAGAGGCTCAGAGACTTAGGCTTCATTTCATACCGCCAGTTGGAGACAGTTGCTCAGATCCAGAGTGGTCTAATTCCACCCTTTGTTCTTCTCAGCATAATACACTGTCTTAGGCTGTGGCTGGAGTTTAAGCTCAGTGAGCGCATCTTGGGGAACATCTACCTGATTGTTCTCTTTCTTGGCATCAGATGCTTCTCCAGTCTCAGCTCAGACACTTGATTCCAAAGTCCTGCAGTGGAGCCTTAGGACGGGGCTTTCCAAGGGATGGCCCTTGGCCCCGGGGTAGAGAACCACCTCACCCCCTCTCAGGCATGGTCAGCAGGGCCACGAAGGAGAGCTGTGAGCATGTGCACTGCCCAAATGTACACAGCTAAGGGGGCAGGTAGGGGTCAAAGTCCAGCCTGCTTTGGTCCTGTGGGTCCATGGGACTGTGTCTTCCCAGAGGAATGTCCTTTCTACACAGGCACGGTGTCTGCATCAGAGGTCCTGTCCTTTGTTTGTTTGTTTGTTTATTTATTTGATGTATTTTTGTTACAGATGTTTCTCCTTTTCCCCCCATTGTCACCCTTCTCCTCATCCCCCCACCCACACCCCATCCCCAGCCTTGATGTCTATGTCCATTGGTTACACATACATGCGTATAAGTTCTGTGGTTTATCTCTTCCTTTCCCCCATCCCCTCTTCTGAGGTTTGTTAGTCTGCACCCTACTTCTATGTCTATTTTGTTCATCAGCTTGTTTTGTTCATTATATTCCACAAAGAAGTGTCATCATATCATATTTGTCTTTCTCTGACTGGCTTGTTTCACTTAGGATAATACTCTCCAGGTCTCTCCATGTCATCTCAGAGGATAAGAGATCTTTCTTTCTTACAGCTGCATAGTACTCCATTGTGTATATGTACCACTGGTTTTTTATCCATTCGTCTACTGATGGACATTTGGGCTGTTGCCAGATCTTAGCTATTGTAAATAGTGCTGCTATGAGCATGGGGGTACATATATTCTTTCTGATTGGTGTTTCAGGCTTCTTAGGCTATATTCCTAGAAGTGGGATCACTGGGTCAAATGGCAGTTCAATTTTTAATTTTTTGAGGAAACTCCATATTGTTTCCCATAGTGGCTGCACCAGTCTGCATTCCCACCAGCAGTGTACTAGAGTCCCCTTTTCTCCACACCCTCGCCAGCACTTGTTTGATGCTTTGTTGATGGCGGCCACTCTGACAGGTGTGAGGTGATACCTCATTGTTGTTTTAAGAGGCCCTACCCTTTAAGTGAAGCTGACTAAACCCTGGGCCCTGAAGAGTTCCATGTGATCTAACGAGCTAAGTTCATCATCACATTTCAGCCTCCCGGCCATAGTGATTGGTTCAAGAGTGAGCACGTAACTGAGACTCTTGGCCAATGAGGCTTAATTTGGAGGCTTTTGTTTGAGGGCTGTGGCTTTCTTTCCTGCTGTAGTCAAACTTGCAACTTAGATGAGGCAGGATAATATAGTTAATTCCCAGCAAAACAAGATAAAAAAATATGGAGAGAAAGCCCTATCCTGGTGACTTTATGGAACCCTTGGTCAAGTTATGCCTAAAGCCCAAGTCTACTTGTGGACTGTGGAGTAATATAAGCCAATACATTTTCTTTTTTGCTTGAGACAGTCTGGCTGTCTGTGTGACCAAAAGCACACTAACTATTCTATACATACCCCTGCCTGTACCCTATACCCCTTCCTGGCTTTCCATTTTCATCATAACACCTGTCACCTCCTCATACTACATTATTTACTCATTTATTTCACTGTTTTTCTACCTTTGCTCCTTACCCTTGCTAGAGTGTATATTCTATAATGGCCAGAAATTGCATCTGTTTTGTTCATTGATGGATTCCTAGTCCGTGAAATGAGTTCTTAGCACATGGCAGGCATTCAATAAAATTTTGTTGGATGCTATCCTCAATGGATTCTTAAGAACTACTAAAATTGCATATGCACACATGAAAATCGGCACAGCTCTGGAGTTCAGCGAGGACCAGCCTTCTGATGAGACGAGTGACCGCCTGTCGTCAGGAAGGGTACGGAGCTGGAACTGCATGTGCGGACGCGCGGATCGCTGGTCTTTCCCAGTTGCAGGGGGACACTTGCTCTGGGGCGTCACCAAGACTGTTTTAAAGTGGTGGTGCTGTGCCGTCGGAACTGTTTTAAAATACATTTTAAATATTTTAATATATTCATAGAATGACTTAGATTTTACTTTGTTTTGTGTTGGTGTGTCTGCTATTTGTTGCTGTATTTTTATTTTGTTTTCTCTACTTTGTTACAATGTGGCAACTTTTCTCCTGGAGCTTATAGATGCATTAAGTGGGTCCAGGTGTCTTTTCTTCCTCTTATGTGTCACAGTCAGAAAAAACCGAGAATGTCTACCTTTTTGGGATATTGTCATCTACATTTCCTTTATTTTATTTGTTCTGACAGGTAATACCACAGAATCTGGCACTAATCCAACAAGGGTTGTGTTATTTTTTGTTGTTTTGTTTTGGCTCCTATCAGCCTACTGTTCTCCCTTTGCCCACCGTGTCTATCACGGAGTCTGAGATTTCTGTGCGTTTCCCTGGCAGGGAATTGCCCAGACCCTCTTTTTTTTTTTTTTATCCTCACCCGAGGACATTTTTCCATTTTTTGTTCAGGTGGGGGGGGGGGAGAGAGGAACAGAGAGATAGAGAGAAACATTGATGTGAAAGGGACATATCGAGTGGCTGCCACCCGCACAACCGACCAGGGCCAGGGACAAACTGCAACCGAGATACATGCCCTTAGCGGGAACCGAACCCAGGTCTCTCAGGACCGCAGGCTGACGCTCTAACTGCTGAGCCAAACCGGCCAGGGCGTCCAGACCCTCTTAAGAGCTGCTGCTGGCTTTCACTGAAGTACCTAGATGCTTTGCAAGAATGCCCCCTTTCCATCTGCCTGTCATCTTGTCCGAACTCTCACTAGGCAGAGATTTGGGTACATTGGGTTAACTAGGTTTTTCATGCTTGGTGGGGAGAAGTACATATTTCAGACATTTTCCTCTTTGACGGTTGCAGAGTGACAGGCTGTGGAGGGAGGCAGGAGGGAGGCAGGAAAGGAGGAGGGGGTGTGGGTAGGGCCGACGCGCTGTGTCCCCTCTTCACTACACCCTTCTCTCAGCCAGAACTTGCCGAGGGGATTGGAGTGTTCTCGGGTCGGGGTGTAACTTTGTTTACTGTTGGCAGTGTGAGTGGGTGAGGCAAGTGGCCGCCCACATGTGGCCCAGCCGTGTGTCCTCTCCTCTGGTCCATAATGTTTCTTCTTACATCGCCAAGTAGACCCCTGGCCTAGGGAGTCATGAATCTTCATGATGGCAAGATTACTTCTTGGAATTGGGGTCACCACCTCCAGTAAGGAATCGTGAAGCTCACAGGCAGAGGGACGCGAGCAAGGCCACATGGGCTGCTAGTAGCAGGAAGGAGATGAGCACCCAAGGCCCAGGTCAGCTGCACCGCGCCTGCTGTGACTGTCATCGCCCCTCACAAGCTGCAGTCGCACCATTAGATAACCCATGCTCTCACCCCGTCCCGAGGCGGGCAGGCACGTCACCTCCATGTCTCCTGTGTTAAACCCAGGGCTGCCCCTGGGGCGTCATTCTGAGTGAGAGGCAGAGACTGGGAGGCAGGAGATGAAGAAACACTTGGGTGTGTTTTCGGAGTCTCATCCCACCTTTTCTCTTCCATCACAACTGCATTGGACCAGAGCAGCCTTGGATGCCTGAAACTATCTGTTAAAAGGTGGCCCTGGAATTTCTGGTCCACATCAGCCTAGAAGGGACTCTACTAGTGGATGTCCCATGGTCGCAGGAAAAATAAGCAGGTGGCCAAGCGGAGGACGAGGGGTGCAAAAGCAGAGGGCGCTAGAGGCTCACACCGGGTTTCTTCCTCCCGTCTTCAAAACTGTATGCCTGATGGCCAAACACCCAGCTCTTCCGTCAGGGGCGGTGCACCACCAGTCTGCTCGAGACAAACGGAGGTGGGGAGGAGGAAAGGAAGTGTAGTGGACAGCGACTGTGGGGTGAACATTTAGAGCTAGAAGCCACTGTATCAATGTTGAGGTCTCTGCCTCTAAGCCTAATAGAATCAGTGCAATAAGAACCTGACCAGGATTAGTTACAACGTTTACTTTCCGGGACAATGACCAGACGTAGCCAAGGTGGCCGAGAAGGGCGAGGAGAGGGGCCTGTACAAGGGCGGGCGAAAGCCTCCGTCTTGCTCTACGGTCGGTACTTGCACAGGAAGTGTTGGAGCTTGTTGCATTCATTGCTGTTCCAAGTTAAAAAGTCTGTAAGAGAATACACACATGTAAGTGCACTTGGTTCTACAATGAGCTTAGCAGTGCTTTCCGGGTGCTTTGCTTGGAACCAGAGATAAGGTTCTGTGATGGGGAACTTTACGTGTTGACTTGGCTGGGACGTGGTGCCCATCATTTGGTCAAACACCCGTCTGGATGGTGCTGTGAGGGGTTTGCTGAGCATGTGGCCAGCATCTGCATCAGTGGACTTGGAGTAAAGCATACTGTGGGTAACGGCCCAAGCAGCGAAGGCCGTAAGAGAAAAGACTGAGGGCCCCCGAAGAGGAAGGGATTCTGCCTCCAGACTGCGCTTGGACTCAAGACTCAAGACTACGGGAGTCTCCAGCCTCCTGGCTGCCCTGTGGATTCCAGATTTTCTCCCCCAACAACCACAGGAGCCGGTTCCTTACAACAATTCACGGTCTCCCCCTACACACGCTCTGTTACTTCTGTTCCCCTGACTAATCCGGGCACCAGCGCAGGAGCCCCGGGCCAGCACTGCCTGGGAGGGAAGACAGAGCTTGACAAAGCCACCGGGAAATGGGGTCCCCTTCTGTGTCTGAACTAGGATGCCGTGTGGAACAGAGGGCGGTCTTTCTGGATGTCTACAGCCGAGGCTCTGAGAAGCTCCTGCTTGTAGCTCTGAGAGCTGGGAGCTGCTGAAGCCCGCCCCCTCCCAACAGGCCGTTCGTTTTCAAAGACTGAAGCATTTTTGAGGGGAGGTCCAATGAGTTCCCTTCCTGAAACCAAGCTCCACAGCATCACTCGTCCCCCTGGGTGTCAGATGTCTGCCCGGGCTCTGACCCGCAGGTCTGGCCCTGGTGCCTGTGTGTTGGTGGGTGGACGAGAGCCTGGAGAGAGGGGGCACAGCCAGACCAAGAGGGGCGAGGCTTGCTTAGTCTCAGGAGGGATGGAGTGTGGGCCTGCTCGTGCCCCATCCAGGGGACTCAGAGCTGGGGCCATCAAGTGTAATTGAAATGGAGACTACATCCCTGGCCGGTTTGGCTCAGCAGTAAGAGCATCGCTTGCGGACCAAAGAGTCCCGGGTTTGGTTCCGGCTAAGGGCACGTACCTTGGCCGTGGTTTGTCCCCGGCCCTAGTCGGGGTCGTGTGGGTGGCAACCAATCAATGTGTCTCTCTCACATCGATGTTTCTCTCTCTCTCTCTTTCTCCAGTTCTATCTGAAGATTAATGTAAAAATATCCTTGGGTGAGGGTAAAAAATAAGAAATGGAGACCACAAGCTTTCTGGGCACTGGCACAGTGTGGGGCAAAGAGAACCTGGCACAAGGCTTCGACCAACCCAGGAGAACACAGCCAGCTCACCCAGGGCGCTAACCTAGGGAGGTGCCTGTTTCACCCCTCCTCCAACACCAGAGGAGTAAGGGCTGTGGTATGAGAAACCATCCCCCATTCCCTCCAGGCCCTGAGAGCCATGAGCAGAGCCTGTACCCCAATAAACGCTTCACGTATATTAGGATGATCAGCACTATTGTATTTCCCTTTTCACAGAGAGGCGCCCGAGGCACAGAGAAGTAAGAAGTCTGCTCAAGGTCACACAGCTGAGTGAGGAAGCTGGACTCCCACCCCAGCCATTCAGAACACAGAGCCCATGGTCTTGACCCAAACTACATGGAGTATGGAATTTACTGTTAAGTGGTAGGAGCCCTAGTTATTGTTCAGGAGCATGTGGAAGGCAGCACGGGTCACAGCGAGCTCTGTGTGGGGCGAGAGGACTTGGAAAGGACCAGAGGAGCCCGGCAGGGTCGAATGTCCTCTTACGGTCTCGCTAGACAGATATTAAAAAGGAACCAATCAGCCCTGGCTGGTATTGCCCAGTGGTTAGAGTATCTGCCTGGAAGAGTCTTGGGTTCGATTCTCGGCCAAGGGAATGTACCCAGCTGGGTTGCAGGTTCAGTCTCTGGCCCTGGTCAGGGCACGTGCTGGAGGCCACCAATCCACGTGTCTCTCTCACATCAGTGTTTCTCTCTCCCCCCCCTGCACCCCCACCTTCCACCACTTTCTCTAAAAAAACAATAAAAATATCCGCAGGTGAGGACTAACGAAAAAAGAAAAGAACAAAAAGAAGGAACAAGTCAGGATGTGTGCGTGGCTGTTTTGGGACATTACCTTTGGGTGTTAAACAATGTAGCCACGGGGCTGGCGGGGCTGTTACACGAATATAAAATGGCCTTTGAAAGTCCCCTTCTAATCCTTGCCCCTCTGTAACCCGGCCTCACCCCTTGTGCTGGTCTGCCTCCAGGGCCTGTGTTCTGAGCGGGGCTGAGGGAGTCTGCAAAGGAAGACCTGGCCTTCTCAGGGGGACCTTCTGGTTCCCACACAGGCGCGTGGCTGAGGCGACCGTGGACGGGCGGGGACGACAGTGTTCGGGAACTTTGTTCAGTTGAAATCTCAGATTCCTGGGAGGGACTTCGGTCCACTGCTCCCCTCAAGCGGGTCTGACCTCCAGCCCTAGAGGCCCTGATGCTGTAGGTCAGGAGCGGTCCCTGGGATTTGTATTATTAAAATGTTTCCCAGTAGCCCTGGCCAGTTTGGCTCAGTGGTTGAGTGTCGGCCTGTGGACCAGAGTCCCAGGTTCAGTTCCCGCTAGGGGCATGTACCACAAAAAAAATAAAAAAATAAAATAAAAATTTTCCTAGTAGACTCTCATGTGCCATTGAGCCCCCTCTTCTAACACTTCTAAAGCTGCAACTACAATAATGACTACAATGTTCATTTATGCTTGGTTAACTCTTGTGATGGGTTTCTCACTACTTGCTGGGGTAGCCCAAACAGTGATTATTCTTCACATTTTTTTTTCTTAGTTTAGATTTAAAAAATCTGTATTTTGGTAGCTTCTACCTATTGGTCTTGCTTGTGTTCCTCTCCTCTGTGCTGACCTATGACTTTAACCTCAGCTGTGTGGTCTTTGCGAGTCTGTGAAAAGTCCTTCTTTCTTCTGTGATCAAGGGCTCTTATGTCTGAGCAGCTGCCTAGACCTTGCCTCAGAGTTTGCTTCCTCATGTCCACGGTTCACCTTTCGCTGTCAGAAAGCTTTCTCACTCCTTTCTGTGTGTGCACGTTCCATCCTCAGATGACAGCACACCCTGCCCTGCGCCCCCTTCCACCGGAGCCCCGGGACCTGCGCCCTCAGTCTGGGTCTCCCCGGCCACTTCTTGCCCTGGGGGGCAGTTCCGGTGAGACCGTCATGACCTGTAAACCCACTGGGGTGTTCTCTTTGGCATCAAGTATCCTTCTCATCTTTGCTAATCTGTGTTCTTGTTTTACACCTGAAGTCTTGCACATCATTTATCAGCTGTGGTTCTGGGAGGGATTTTGTTCCTCTAGGGGACGATTAGCAAGATCTGGAGACATTTTTGCTTGTGAGGACCTGTGTGTGTGTGTGTGTGGTGTGCGTGTGTGTGAGTGCTGCTACTGGCTTCTACTGAATACCAGGGCATGCTAAACCCACAACGTGTGGGACAAATGTCATCGGCACCAAATGGCATTAGCACCAAGGCAAAAAAACCTCTAGTGTATTAGCTTAAAAAGCAAAGAATGAAGCAGGTAAGATAGATGAGGAGGCCCCGGTGATGTGGGCAGCCCGCAACTGAGGTCCTGGGCACTGCATCCTGGGGATGGAATTCAGGGAAACAAGCAAGGGGAAGCCTCCAGGGGGCGACGAGATTTCTGGGCTCCTGGGGAACCCTCACCACCCAGAAGCCAGACAAGAATCACGCATATGTGCTCCCTGTACATATGTGACGTATTCGCCCTCATGGTATACAATAGGATGAAAAAATAAATGCACGGAAGAAAAAGTGAGCGTTAAGTAAGTAACAGAACAGTCGGTACACTGATATGGCAGATTGCAAAATGGTCACAAATGACCGAGGTTGGTACACAGTGTTGGTGACAAGGCCACTGTCCTGCGGGACAGGAGGTGCTGGTGTGAAATGGAGGGAGGGAAGGGACGTCCCTTCTTGCTCCTCATAGGAAAGGGGAGAGGCGAGGGCGATGCTCTAGGACTTACTGTTGCTGGCGTTCATCTCGGCACAGTGCTTGTTTGCGGCCACGGACCTGCCCGACCAGGTTTTGAATAAATACAGGGCGCCATCGATCCACCGCCACTGCTGCCTCTGCGGATGACAGGCACCGGACACGCGGGGTCAGCCAGCCCCCTGCGCTCGCGCTCCCCTCGGGCTCCCTTAAAGTGCAGGTTTTAGTGTAGCTCTGGTTTGGCTCGGCCGTCACAGCGTCCGCCGCTGGACCCGAGAGTCACGGGTTTGATTCTGGTCAGGGGCACGCACCTTGGTTACAGTTCGTCCCCCACCCTGGTCAGGGTGGTGCTGGAGGCAAGCAGGCAGTGTGTCTCACATCCATGTCTCTCTCTCCCCGCCCCTCTCACTCTATCTGAAGATAAATAGAAAAGTATCCTCAGGTGAGGATTTAAAAAAAATAAAAATAATAAAATGCAGTGTTTAATGTAAACGTTGGGAAAGCACAGGCATGTGTGCAGAAGGAAACATGGAAGGTCACTCCGTGAACATTGCTCACCTCTCGGCGTGTTCGCTGCTTGGGCAGACACTTCCCTCTGGCGCACTATTTTTATGTGCTAAGAAATGTGGTGATCTTCAAAACATATACCCAGCTTTGTACCTTGCATCCTAAACACATTTTAATGCTAAGAATGTGCCATAATGTACCTTAATAATTCCTCTAAGGATTAATGTTTATATTGTTTTCAATTTACAGTTATGACAAATAATACTGCTATGAACAATTGTGTTCAGAAAGCTGTTTCTGTACTTAAAATGATTTCCTTCGAGTAGAATCCCAGGAATAGAATGAATGGTCAAAGGGCATGAATATTTTGAGGGTATCGAAATGCATTGCCAAACCATTGTCCAAAACAATTCATTCGAAGGAATTTACATCCCCGCCTACTGGGCAATTTGTCCATATCCTTAAAACTATCATTTATCAAGACAAAGCAAAAGTTTGACAGCATGGGAAGTAAACTTAGGTCACTTTAATGTGCATTTCTTTGATAACTAGAGATGTCGCACTCTTCTTAGAACATCTATTCACCACTTACTTTCCTCAGTCATGAGTGGAAAAAATTAAATCACAAAAACTATCTAGTGGAAATAGTTGTAACTATTTCATCTCTGAATGAGAGCGCTCTGGCTGATAGTGTGAAAATATAAAACTGGAAAATTAATTGTGAAAAATATTTGTCACAATTATGGCAAAGTTGAATCAAGAACAGTCTGGGTGCTCTCTCCTGTTCCTTGTGTTTGGTGGGTTGGCTGACTGTGGGAGCCCCCCGAGCCGCGGGCTGCCGGTCCCGCAGAGACCCCAGTGCCCGCCAGGACCTCCCCGCTGCTCCCCGCAGTGAGGCGTGGCGGAGAGAGGGAGGGCCTAGTTCAAGGAGCGAAGGAAAACATCGAAAACATAGCGGCACATGAGGAAAAGTCTAGCTGCAAGTTTGCACTTGAAGGCAGATCTAAAGGAGATTTAATTAAGCTAGGTCCCATGCCGGGTCTGTGTGTGCTTATATGCACTTACACAAACCTGTTTTCGAAGCCTCTGAAAAGCTGCTGATTTTGTGTTCTGTGACTCGGGAGGATTTTAATTAGAATTGGACCTTGACCTCGAGGCCGTGGCCTCTCTCTGGGGGAGGCACGTGACTGAGGAAGATCCGCTCTGTGCGCCCCGTCCGGGGCTGGTGGCCGGTTCTCAGAGTGGGGCTCTCTCTCGGGGTTTCCCACGGGCGATGTGTGGGCTGAGCCTCGGTTTACCTTCTGTGGGTCGTGCAGGCCAATCCACACAGGCAGGGTCCTCTGATAGCCCTGTATGTACTCGGCTATGGCGTTGGCCTCCTTGGCATTCAGTATAGACGCCAGGTGGGCTCCGTTTCCGAAGGACTGACACTCGAGCTGTGGGCAAGGAGAAGTCACGATAATGGTGTCTTGAGGTGTAAAAACACAGCCCTCACCTCAGAACCCAGTGTGCCAGGCAGCACGGACCAGCACAGCCCCACCTCCTCTGGAAGCTGCGATCTAAACCCCAGGACGACTTCCCGTCCTTCCTGTCCTCGAGAGAGAGGACAGTGTCCAGTCTCAGAGGATGAGGAGCTCTGGCAAGGGCAGGAGCTGGGGTCCGTGGACGTGCCCGGGGTCCTGACCTTGCCTCTCATTAGTGGATGTGACCTGGACAAGTCACTCCCCTCACTGGGGCTTAGTCTCATCATCTGTAAATGGAGAAAATAATTAACCCTACACAGGGAGTTGTTAGGAGGACACATTTGTTATAATTCTGTATCATATATCACACTGCGTTTCAAATACATCTAAGAAACCGCTGCTTGTACAATGTGCTATTCTCTGACCTGAAACTTACTGTCCAGTGAAACAAAGAAAACACTGTATATACGTGCATTTTATAGATAATACACTCTATTTTATGCTCTCTTGGGGTTGTGTTATGGGATCTGCCCACATGGTAGAACTTTAAGTAAAACATGGATCGGCTGTGGTTGCTACTCCAACGCTTGCCTTTAGGATCTTGCTTGGGATTCGTGTGGTTACTGTTTATTGAACACTTGCCACACACTTCACAGATCCAAAATGCTTCTCTACTGGGAATTTTGTTTGACTTCCAAACGTGTGAGGCATGGATGCCAGATTACCAGCCAAATTTAGTGAATGAACCTGTCACAGAAATTCCTGGGACGGAAGAGGAAACGGCCTTGGAGTTCACACAGCTGGTCGTGCGGGAGCTGGAGCAGAACTCGGACCTCTGCTCTTCGGTCCAGATCGGATCGACCTGTCTGCTGACCCCGTGACCAGCTCCCAGGAGTCTCGAGAACTAGGATGGGCCAGCAACACGGCGAGGACTCAAGGGCAGCAGCGACCACGGCGCCCAGACCCTCTCTGCCCTGCGGCCCTGCATGGTTAGCTCTGCCAGGCTGCGTAGCAATCCTGCAGACCTTTTCATGGCCTTGAAAACCTGAAGTGAGCATCTACTGTGCGCCACAGGCTTCTGACAAGTTGTTCTAACAAATCCTCCTGACAGCACCATGGGGTAAAAGTGCTATCCCCATTTTATAGCAAAAAAAACCCCAAAAAACAGTAAAAGCGAGGTATATCTGTGACGAATGAGTGCCAGAGTCGTGACTGAAACCCAGGTCAGTGGTGTGCCGGGCTCCCAGACAGGTCCCTCCTTGTTTCGGCAGAACCCATGCTGGGGTCCCTGGGGACAGGCACACAAATGCCCCCCGAGATTTCGTCACATTGCTCTCACCGTGCTCTCCATGAGCTCAGTGGATAGGCTGGGAACCCTTGGTTTGTTTAGTTTTTTGTTTTTTTTTAACTATCATTCACATCAGCTCAGAAAAGTGTTGCATTAGGGCTGACTTATGCTCACACTGCACTGGAATTTTCTGTATAAATGTCACAATCCTGCATTAATTCTGGAATAATCTTAAAAAACATTTAAAAAAAAAATTTGTTTTCTTCATTGACTTTAGGGAGAGGGAGAGAGAGATAGAAACACGTATGAGAGAGAATATCGATTAGCCGCCTCCTGCACGCCCCCCAATGGGGATTTGGCCCACAACCTGGGCATGTGTCCTGACCGGGAATTGAACTGGTGACCTCTTGGTGCATGGATTGATGCCCAACCACTGAGCCACACCAGCCGGGTAATTCTGAACTTTTTAAAGCCAGAGAAGACTTGTATCCTCAGTAGCTATCTCGTGGCAGGTGGCTCCATCATTTTTGACTTGCTTCTACCGGGTTCTGTGGCCATTCTGAGCCCAGCTCACCCTGTACATCCCCATGAGGTTCCCCCTGGTCACTTCGGTTAAACAACCACAGCCCAGATGGACAGCAGTGCACACTCTGCACGCTCCTCTGAGGTCACGCAGACTGACTGGCTCTTCGGGTCCCTCTCAGACAAAGCCACAGTCAACTAAACTGAGGCACCTGCTGGGTTGTGCAGACAACAAAGCTCCCCTGGTTGTGCCTCTCCTCGGCCAGGGCTCTAGGCTGTGCCCCAGGCCTGTCTGCACACTGGCTGTCTTTCTGGTAGACCTCTCGCTGCTATTCAACTATTCTGTCGGTAATCGCTCAGCTTCCTGTGCTCCTCTGATCCACCCATTTCTGTCTTCCTTACGGAACTCCTGGAGTGGAAGGGCTGTTTCTTGGTCATTCTTATGTCTTTGCAGCCCATGTGGGGTCTGGGCAGAGAGCCTGTGTACCATCAGTGCTTGAAAAATGGAATGAGTTGAACACACAACCCCCTTCCCTCCATTCCACCAGCCCAGTGACTTCTCAGAGGCCAAGGACCCTTGGTTCTGTGTGAACTGAGGCCTGGAGCCCGGGCAGCCCCCTGCGTTAGAGACGCCAGTCCGCCCACATGTCTCACCTCAGCATCAGACCAGTTCCTCAGCTTCCGGAAGTATCCGTAGCAATGGGACTTGTGGTAAAACCATCCAGTAGCACAGCTGGGCCTCATGATGATCTCTGCACACGAACGAAAGGCAATGACAAGTTCTGATGGCAAAGCAACCCATTTCCACACTTGATCCGTCTTACAAACCTGGGCCTCCTTGACTGGAAGGGAGGCTGGGTGCCCTTGCCGATCTCTCTCCCCCTTCCCCAAAGGGGACTACGGCCTGTTACAGGGTAGCTGTGCACTGGGGAAAAGGAAATCATCCGATCCTTTGAGATTTACCAGCCACTGGCCCTGAACGGACACCAGTTCTAGGAGAACCACTGTCACTGTGCCCCCCCAGTCCGACAGGGGCTTCTGGAGCCAGGCGACCCATCAGTTCGGCTCAGGTCCATCTCCCAGTGGGCCCAGTGGGTTCCCTCCCCATCCTGTGGCTATTTCCAATCACCGAATGCGTAGCTGAATAGACATCCTCAGCAACAACCCCCGCCTTGGTATTGAGATCAAACTGCTATAATTCAAGGCTCCCGAGAGAGGTTGAGGATCACGCACTGGTAGTTTCAGGCATTAAAGAAGGGAGTAGTTTTTGTTCAGGAAGACACGGCACAGGATAAATGGCAACTTGGCTGAACATTGAGAATAGGTGGGCTGAGAGCCAGTAGAAGGGGAGGGGACATGTCAGGCAAAGGGTGAGCAGAGGGGTAGAGGCAGGAATGGGCAAGGCGGGCACAGAAGTGTCGAGTATCTACAGGCAAGTGTGGTAGGAAGGGGCGGAGAGTCAGGGCCTAGGAGCCAAGGAAACATGGTCCAGAGAGGCCAAGTCCCTCCTGCTAGGTGAAGGGGCCATGGCCTGAACCGTTCAGATTGCCTTGTTTAACGACCAGAACCTTCCCGAGAGCGAGCGGTGTGTCCCTATTGTACAGATAAGAAACCCTTCTCCGAGAGGTGCAGTGACCTGTTGAGGTCACTTAGCTGGAGAGTGAGGTGGGACCTGGGAGAGGGCTAATGTTCCTCCAGCAGCCCCAGGACCCTACCTCTCGTGGGGCTGGAGCTCCTTGCGCGTCAGAGCCTCCAGCTGCTGGCCAATTGCCGGGACCGCGAACGGTCTGTTTACGCCACCCCTTCGAGATGTGGCCTTGGGAACATCTGCAACCCCTTTCAGCTTTAGTCTTCTTGTTTGTGCAACGGGCTGGCAATATGTACCTTCCTCACTGGAGAGCTGGGAGGACTAAATGTGCTAATGCATGGGCGGTGGTTAGCTTAGGGCTGATGCGGAGTAGCTGTTCAATAATCAGCAGCTGCTTAACCAACTGTAGCTATTAAAAGAATCACATTCTCATCATAACCAGTGGAATAGTTTTGTTTTCCACTGAAAATAGTCACTGAATGGAGTTCCCTAGTGTCCACAAATCATGTTGCCTTTTGTTTTCCCACTCATTGAGTGAATTGTTTCAGGCAAAGGGCAGCTGAGGGCCAGGACAGAGAAATCACTGCTGAGGCAACAGGGTATATTGATGTTGACCATCAAGTCTCCTTGAGAGAGGAAATGCACTTCTCATTCCCCATACTCTCCTTAAACGCAAGGTTAGACTTTTTCCAGAAGCCACAATGCGAAGAATACGTAGGGTGTTTTGTGCAAGGTCCCCCAAGACAGTAAGAATAAGTAGAAAGTCTTTGTGCAGCTGGAAGGAAGATCTGTAAAAAAGTAGTGGATGGACCAGGGGTGAGTGCTCTGGCTTCACCTTCTCCAGGGCAGAAGCCAGAGAGGTTGGGTGAAATCCCGGAGTTGGGAAAGGTCTTGTTTCTCCTGTCCCAGGAATATCCGTGGGAAAATTCCAGCCGCCTTAAGGAAGCCAGAAACAGAGCAACAGGAACGACCTGAGTAGTTGGTTAGGAAGGGCCATGGACCCCGGCTCTGCAGGTGGGGCCTCTGAGAGTCTTTCACACCCCAGCATGGTTCAGAGATGGTGTCTGAGTGTCCCAGGTCCTGAGCAGCCACAGATGGTTGAGACAACTAGTGGCTGGACCACAGACTTCAGACACAGCCACTAGCATGATGCCCAAAGAACCCCGATTCTCTGTGTTTCCTTCAGTCGATGCTCCCCATTGCCAAGGTACTCCCCTCTGGGACGAGTGCCAGGCTGTATACAGCACCGGACGCCCTCAAGAGGCTCTCTGCTCAGCCGAAAGGCTGCCTCGGGACGGGGAAGCACCCAGGACAGGAGCCAGAGCACCCCATAATCTTAGTGAGTTACCTTGGGCATGTCTCTACCCTTCTTGGGACCTCATTTTCCTCAATAGAACAATGGAGTCACTCCAGATGAGCTCACACTTCAGTTCCTTCATTTCAGATATCCAATGATGCTTATTTTTAGCTCCCTCTTACAGATTTCTTCCCGTTTTCTGCACAGGTGGATTCCAGGGTACTGCTTCCTGCTTTGTTGACCTGTTACTTTATACTTGGTGCTGGGTCTATACCTGTGTAGGGCCACCTTTCTAACCGAAATTCCCCATATGTTCAAGCATGAAAACAATGCATAAACATTGGTAGTTCTGATTATAGCTCTCGTTTATTGACAGCTTGGTGTCAGGTGCTTTAAACACATTATCTCTACCCTTCACAATAAACTTGCAAAATAATTATAATCTACACGTCGTTGATGATTTTACTATGGCTCACAATCATATCAGATTGGAATTTGTTCAATTCTAAATTTCTGGGGGTTTTGTTCATTTTTACCACATCTCATTGTCTTTAGCATCTATTTCCTGAAGTGCCTAAACATTTTGGGGGGCCAATGAATCTGGCTCTGTCCTGTGAGTTGCATGAGCACCGACTGTGGGCTCAGTCCCAGCCAAGTGACGGGTACTCACCGCCCAGGACTGCAGGGCCAGCTGCGCAGCTGAGAAGTAGAAGCAGCCACAGACATTTGGAAGACATTTTCCTCTTCCCCTGGAGACAGATGTGCTTTGAAACCTCTACTGGAAGGATCTCAGAGCCCTCGTCAGTGTTTACTGGAAGTTGCTGGATTCTCCTAAATCTGCAATCTAAACACATTTGCACTGGTGAGACAGACCCAGAAATTCAGATGCCAAGTTGCAGAAGGAGAAAAAAATTTTTTTTCTGGCTAAACTGAGATGGTACAATAAAGGGACTCTTACACTAAATGTTAGGAAAATTTAACTTATGAAGTATTTTTCACACCTGCAAGGGCTCTGGGCTAGTGTCAGAGACCCAACTATATTGGGCTGAATGCTTTAAAAGTCCAAATGGAGGCATTTGGTATAATGTGGAAAACCTGTCCCTACTATTCTCAGGAGGACCACCAGAGGGCATCACAGGCAAGGTTTCTCACAGCTGCGGCAGTAATGGGCTTGCTATAGCCAAGTCAATCAAATCAAGTAGGTCCCAGCAATGAATTGTTTCGTGTTAGATTTAAAAGTGAATATATGGTCTAAGACCCACATTTTACAGATGAGAAAACCTGAACTCGATGGGTCTGAAGTCATTTGCTCATTGTCACACAGCTACAACCAGATTTTCTGCCTTCAGCTCAACCCTTTTACACTTAGGTGATATCACTTAAAAAAAACACAAAAAACTTTTGTTATCTTTTCCCATCATCAAACAATATATGAATTATTAAATGGTCAATGAAAAACTAGAGAGCGGGAAATAAATCCCATCTCCCAGAGATAAACGATTTAGTGACTAGCTTATGGACATCTTCCTACATACGTACGTATGTGTGTGTGTGACTTTACGTACACGGAGTCACACAGTCCTGTAACCTGGTTTTGTTTCTCAGAAACAAATTGATTGTAATAAACCTTTCCCACTCATGTAATTTTATACAGTTTTGATTCTTTCTTTAGTATACATTCACAAACAAAGGGTTACAGCTTCACAGAACTTGGGCATTGTTGCATTGATATCCTTGGCTCAAATGCCCTCCAGTTGGGCTACTCTGTACATTCGACTAACTGCACAGAAAGGCTGGCTTCCCAGAACCTCAATGAATGTCTTACGTGTCTATTGTTTTCTTGCCAATTTTGGTATATTACAGAAAATCCTCATTGTTTTTGTTACCATTTAAAATATACTAATGAAGCCTTGCTGTTTTGGCTCAGTGACTAGAGCGTCAGCCCACAGATGGAGCAGTCTCAGGTTTGATGCCCCATCAAGGGCAGGTGCATGGGTTGCAGGTTCAATCTCTGCCCCAGTCGGGGTCTTGCAGGAGGCAACCAATCAATGTGTGTCTCTCACACCCATGTTTCTCTCTCTCTCTCCCTCTCTCCCTTCCACTCTCTAAAAATCAGTGGGAAAATATCACATCCTCGGGTGAGGACTAACGAACAATAAAAATAATAAAATGAATAAAATAAATAAAATATAGTAATGAAGTTAAATACCTCTTTACACGCTGATTAGCTTTTACAGCATCTTTTGCAAATTTTTGGTTTACAGCTTTGCACATTTTCCTGTTTGATTGTTTATCTTTTTTTCTCAGGAATTTGTAAAGACTTTCTTTGAACAGTTACTGTTTTTTTGTATATTATTAAGAATATTTCCAGTTTGTATTCTTGTTTCTCTTTTTTGCCATACTGAAAATTTCAGAAATTGTCATATCTATCTTCTCCTTTACAACTTTTGGTATTTATGTCAGAAACACTGGCCTTCACCCCCCCCCATCCCCCACGCCCTCTGTTTTCCCCCACCTGCGCTTCTTTCAGTGTGAGCAGGGGGTGGGGGCCGAGATCCCCCCCAAGCAGTGGTTAAGATGGACAATTCATACAGTTCTCACTGAAGCATGAATTACGATCCAAAAATCAGGACACGTCCTAACTCTCGAATAATAGACTGCTTAAAGGGGAATGATGGACTATAACATTTGAAATGGAAACTTTTCTGGAAAAATCTAAAGATTAGCTCCATTTTAGGGTCGTGAGGACACTGGGATGGTGTGAATGAAGAGGAAAGGGTGAAGAGTGTGGGGCTGTGATGACCACCCCCTCTTTTTAATTTATTAAAAAAAATTTTAATCCTCACCTGAGGATATTTTTCCATTTATCTTCAGATAGAGTGGGAGGAAGAGAGAGGGAGAGAGATAGAAACATCGATGTGAGAGGGACACATTGACTGGTTGCCTCCCGCATGATCCCCGACCAGGGCCGGGGACTCCTCGGCTGGAATCGAACCCGTGACTCATGGGTCCTCGGGCTGACACTCTAGGGCTGAGCCAAACCAGCCAGGGCCACTGCCCCCCTCCCCAACCCTTTTTAAAATTATTGCATTAACTCTGCTCTCCAGAAAAACTTCTCTTTCAGAAGTGATGGGGGTATTTTCAATGTCCTGAAACTCCTTAAAGCACCAGTTATAAGAATGTCTCTGTCAAGCCCGCTGTCTAGGGGAGGGAGGTACAGCATCTTTGCGGATAATCTATGAATAAATGTTAACGAACTGGCATTCAGCGAGTAGTCGCACCTCATCTAATCTAATTCTCATACCTGGGCCACAGTGCAGGTATCATTAACTTATTTTACATGTGGAGACACTGTCATTTGTTAGGATTAATTTCCTGCCCCACTCAGGTGGCTCAGTTGGTTGAAGCGTCGTCCCTCACACCAAAAGATTTCAGGTTCGATTCCTGGTCAGGCACATACCTGGGTTTTGGGCGTGATCCCTTCTTGGGGTGTGCATGAGGGGCAACCAATTGATGTTTCCCTCTCACATTGATGTTTGTTTCTTTCCCTCTCTCTTCTTCTCTAAAAATCAGTAAACATATCCTCGGGTGAGGACTAAAAAAAAGGTTAACTTCAGCCCTGGCCGGTTTGGCTCAGTGGTTAGAGTGTCGGCCCTCGGACCAATGAGTCACGGGTTTCATTCTGGTCAAGGGCACGTACCTGGGTTGTGGTTCGTCCCTGGCTCTGGTCAGGGTCGTGTGGGAGGCAGCCAGTTGATGTGGCTCTATCACATCGATGTTTCTTTCTGTCTCTCTCTCTCTCCCTCCCTCCCCCTCTGTCTGATGATAAATGGAAAAATATCCTCGGGTGAGGAATTAAAAAAAACAAAAAACAAAGTTTAACTTCATAAAGTTTCGCAGCTGCCTGAGTGCAGAGCCATGATTTAACTCAGCACTATTTGACACCAAAGCCAATGTTCTTCATAATTAGGGAAGAAGAAAAAAACAAGTCATTCAAATCAAACAAAACAGCAACAAGCAGCCTGCCTAGCGTCATTAAAGCTGTAACTTATCATTTCTGGCCCCGTTAGTAGCTGGCAGAGGGAAGCAGGCAGGTTACCTGGTTGGCATTCAAGGCTCCGGGGACCCACCTTCTTCAGCCTCCCGAGAGACCCCTGGCAGTTTCTGAGTTCTTATATCTTCTTCCCTCGGGAATTACATGACCTTCGTTTTAATCATAGAGCAATAACACTGTTTACAAATAATAACCCATCCATAAAGTCTTATCTGCAGTCAGAGTGAACAGCGTGATAACGGATGTGAGCTGTACTTGCAGCAGGCAGAAGACAAACCTCTCCCTGTTTGCACACAGAATCTTTTCTTTGAAGCCTGGGTTGTCCAAACCCGCCAGGTCTGTCATCGGCTACATCCTCATCTTCCTCTCCACTGACTTCGTTTTTCTTCGGTCTCCCTTTCCAGCCCTGTGCTTGATTTCTCTTCCTTCCTATAAGATGCCCCACTTCAGCTCGTGGCGTCTGTCCCCTCGCAGGAAGGGCTTGCCCCGGGGCAGGATACAGGTTGTGCGGTGAGCTTGAGAGAGTCCCTGCAGGCTTTCTCTCTAAGCACCAACCCGCCACTCTCAGCACTCTGCTGGCTCCCCTGGATCCGGAGGAGCCAGGCCCGGAACCTTCTCCCCACACAGGGCAATTCTGTCTACATAGCTTGAGTTGACATACAATATTCTACAAGAAATTGTTTTCACCCAAGTCATCACATGAGGTCTTAACGGGAACCTTGGGGGCGAGGTAGGACACCCACCCCCTTCACATCTAAGAGTCGGGAAGCCCATTCATGTGCATAATGCTGGTCGGTGGGGAGCTGGATGTCAGCCCCAGGCTTTCTGACGGTCAATCTAGTTCTCTTTGTGGAATCACAGCCTTATCAAAAATAGCCTGTTTGGAAGGATAACAAGATTTCCTTCTCTAGTGCAGATAGCAAAGGAGTAACTATGTTGTGGATGTCAGGGATTATTCAACTGAAGGCCCTGGCCGGGTAGCGCAGTTGGTTAAAGCATCATCCCAACACACCAAGGTTGCGGGTGCGATCTCCAGTCAGGGCACATACAAGAAGCAACCAATGAGTGTATGAATGGGTGGAACAACAAATCAACATCTCTCTCTCTCTTTCTAAAAAGAACAACAATACACACAAAAAAACTTCAACTAGACTAGAACCGCACCAGACTAGAACTTTAAGACTGGAAGGATAATGGTGATGATTATCAAGTTCCACTACGGCGAGGAACTTGAGGCCCAGAGACGCACCGACTGGTTCAATGCACAGCTAGAAGTGAAGCAGTTTCAGAAGCCAGACTCCTTACTTCTAGCACAGTGTTCTCTTTAAGATGCTACTTGAACTTTGTCCTTGAATTTCCAGCCTGTGTTTAAACTCATGGTAAGGACAGGAGAAAGTAATGCTTTCATAGTTTACAAAGGATATTTTGGAGAACCTCTGCTATTCTGCTGATGCTCCGGGGAAATATCACAAGGGTTAGCTTCCCATGGATTGTGATTCAGGTCCTAATTCTGTTACCCACTCACTGTGTAACACTGGGGGCGTGTTCCCCAACCTCTCTGAAGCCTCGGTTTCCTGACTGTGTGTGTTTTGATATTACCAGATGAGTTTTATTTTTTATACCATCTGTTAAACACAAGCCCCTTCCCCTTTGGGCAGCTGAATGGACATCACCATTGCTTCG